CTTGTAAAGAACAATGAACCCTTTGCCAGTTGATGCCAATGGGCCTGTGTTACATTTCTCTTTTTTCTCTTCTTGTGAAGCCTTCATGTTACTTCTTGCTTCTGGTCAAGCCACTGGCCTGCTCTTAGTCACTGCCTTTTCCTTCCAGGCAGAAATACTCCTTGTTGGCCAGCAGGCTGGCTGAAAAGTTTTATATATGTTTCCCTTCTGCTCCTCTTGCTAGTTGCCACATTCTTTTGCTCCTCCATAACTATCTCACCCGTTGTCATAAGCTGCTTTTTCTGATGTTTCCTGCCTCACTGCTTCATCGAGTTTCTCACGGTCACTTTTTGAGTCCTAAAACCTCTTCCTCCAGAAAGAAAGAAGTTTGCAATTGATGCAACTGTAACTGAGAATATATTATTGCCCTTATATAAATCAATGGTACGTCCACATCTCGAATACTATGTACAGATGTGGTCTCCTCATCTCAAAAAAGATATACTGGCACTAGAAAAGGTTCAGAAAAGGGCAACTAAAATGATTAGGGGTTTGGAACAGATCCCATATGAGGAGAGATTAAAGAGGCTAGGACTCTTCAGTTTAGAAAAGAGGAGACTAAGGGGGGATATGATAGAGGTATATAAAATCATGAGTGATGTTGAGAAAGTGGATAAGGGGAAGTTATTTACTTATTCCCATAATACAAGAACTAGGGGTCACCAAATGAAATTAATAGGCAGCAGGTTTAAAAGAAATAAAAGGAAGTTCTCCTTCACGCAGCGCACAGTCAACTTGTGGAACTCCTTACCTGAGGAGGTTGTGAAGGCTAGGACTATAACAGCGTTAAAAGATAAATTCATGGTGGTTAAGTCCATTAATGGCTATTAGCCAGGATGGGTAAAAAATGGTGTCCCTGGCCTCCGTTTGTCAGATGGCAGGAGAGAGATCACTTGATAATTGCCTGTTAGGTTCACTCCCTCTGGGGCACCTGGCATTGGCCATTGTTGGTAGACAGGATACTGTGCTAGATGGACCTTTGGTCTGACCCGGTATGGCCGTTCTTATGTTCTTAACCTTTTTGTTTTTTGTTCATCACGCAATTCCAACATCTGCTTCCCTTGGCTCTCTCAGTATCCATTCTGTATCCTAATTGGGTTATTTCTAGGAAGGTTGGGACTAGCCTAGTGACCTTGTCTGAGAACTTTTTGGAGAACTCCTTTCTTTGTTGCCATCCCTGCCTATTTTCTCCTCATAGTTTGCTGAACCCCAGGCCTTCATACTCAGCCTCCTCTTTGCCAACAATAGCTCACAAGACAATAGATGTTCGCTCATCCATCATGTGGAATTTTCAAAGAAAAATATGTAGTAATATTGCCAGTCACTGGCCAATCTCATTCCAGAATTTGTTGTTCCTTCTGTTATTGCATTGGAGTGTGCTCCTCTTTGGAAACATTGCCCTTGTCTGAGCTAAATGATAATATAATTATCTAACCATTTAAAATGAAAAAAAATCCTATTAGGGCACTGAGAAATAATATGCCTTTCTCTGTTCCCATCCAGAGTTTGGGGTTCAGTCAGTAAATCAGTAATTAAATTATTCACTTACTCCAAGCAGATTAGAATATTGAGATTAGTGGAAATCTTGAAACACAAACTGTCAGTTTGCTTCTCCCTCTTTTGGTGGCTTCTTTTATCTAGACAGACCTACTACGGCCCAGTTTGGGCAACACTGGCTTATTTTATTTAGAAGCAGATCTTGCTTTCTCCTCTGCAGCATGAACCGCTAACACGTAATTGATTATTATTTGTTGTTTATATTACTGTAGCACTTAGGAGGTATAGTCATGGACCCCATTGTGCTAGGCACTGTACAAACAGAACTGGGGTTTTTTTTGTTTTTTTGTTTTTTAATTTTTTATTTCGAAAGTACCATTTTTAGTGCAAGAAACCTTATTTAGGACAGATTCCACATCTTCCTACTGCTGAGTTTCTTGCATCTTCTTCTGGAGCAGCTGGTCTGGCCACTGCCAGAGACAGGACACCGTGTGAGATGGACCGCAGATTGGATCCAGTCTGTGTAGTCCAGAGGGGTGGCTTGCCTTCACTACATCAGCTGTAATGCAAGGAACCTACAGCTCTGTATCTTGAAAGACATTACCTTAAGCAAGTTAGCATAAGTGTAGTCAAGTATAGTAGGCCTGCGACCTTTGGCATAGATAAATAGTCTGACTGTTACCCCTTAGGTTTTGGGGAACTAGGAATGGCTTGCTCAAAGGTAGGAGTTGAAACCTAACGGTAAATGGCAACCACAGGAATATGGAAGTGATAACCGTAATGTAGCTTGAGCAAGAAGTGACTGGTATGATAATGAGTTAAATGGCATTAATATGTATTAATTAATATGCTAACTTGTAGGATAAGTGTACCCTAATATGATGGGGCGAGGAAGCTATATTTGGGCATGGATGGCTGAGCATAAGCATGAATATTCATGATGGTGCTCAGGCCCTATAATGGGAGAAACAACCATGTAGAGGCTAGGCTTTTTCCATCATTGTTAGCTATCCATCATTTAACCCTTCAGCTCTATCGTTATCTACCATCAATCTTGGGATTGAGGAACCTGAACCATTGGACTCATTTGGCATGCCAGAGACAGGCTGGTCCTTTATCTCTTACCACCAGGTCCTCAAGAAAGGGTATAAGTATGCAAATCTAAGAGCTTATACAAAGAATGATACAACGGATATCCCCAATACTGTGTTACTCCTATCTTTTTATGGGGCTTGGAGCTTTTCTGGCTTTATTCCTTATTTTAATAAAAATCTCAAAGGCTTTACTTTGCCAACAGTATAAGTATCCTTGCCCTGAGGGTCACTGAGGGTCCCTGAGGGTCACTGCAAGATATTAAACTTATTGGTTATAGTTTTGGGTAGCCTGATTCTGGGATTAGAAACTTCTGACAAATTGGCAATTAATATAAATATTATTAACCTTCAAAAAAGATCAGGCAACATCTGGCAATATGTTCCTAATTAGCAGTAGTAATAGTGCTAACGTAATCAAAAATCAAAAAGCCAAATAAAGATGGGTTATAAGAACGGTTTGTCAGGAACTGGAATTTCTGTTCATGGGAAGTTCAGACATTTAAAAAACCATCACCCCGCCCCCCCCCCCCAATTTGGAACAAAAAGCCAAAATTCCAAAATTTCCTATGAAATGAAAATTTGAAAAAATTTCAATTCTGGACCATCAAAATGTTTTGTTTCAATAGTGCTATTTTAATTAATTTCATTTTGACTTTTATATATTAAATATAAAATAATCGAAATGAAATGAATTGAAACACTGTTGAAATTAAGTGTTTAAACATTCCCCCCCCCCCCCCTTGAAAATCTTTCCACAAGCTCTAGTTATAGGGAGCAACCTAGCTCTCTCTGCTTTAATTCGGTAAAATAGAAGTAACCAAACTTTCATGTATCACCCTCCTTCTTCAGGTAATGGAAATGCAAAGCAAGTTAGAGTAACAGAGTTGTCTCAGTCAGTGGTGCCTCCTACAGTTTTGTTGCTAGTTTCTGTATTTTTTGGATGCTTTAATAATGGCACCTGGCTTGGCATGTTCCTACAGGGAAAAGAACATGATATGGGAGCAGCTGCTTTTCATGATTGAGTCTAATAGGAAATGCACAGGAGAGAGATTGGAGGATTCTGTTTATACATCTTTTTAGGGAAGAGGGGAACCAATCTAATTTGAAAGATTGATCTTTGATCTTTGCACTCAACCTGCGAAGTCTGCTGCTATGCGTGCAGAGATATTTAGAACAGCACCTATGATTGTTCCGTCAGTGGAGAGAGGGAGAGAAGAAAAATCTCCCCTCTCATCCCACTGTGCTGTTGCAGTAGGAGGCATAGGAATATTTCTTATGATTCATCAAGATGTTTTATGTAAGGTTACTGAGAAACTTTTCGGCAAAGAAGGAGGAGAGAGGCATTTGGAGAAGAGAGAGAGGCCACCTTTCAATTCAGTTATAGCAGCACATGTAGATGACATTTCAAGATAGGTTGAGAGAATTAATATTGAGAAAGGCAAAGTTAACCTGAATCCAGAGCATTTGAATAAGTAATTCTAATTATCAGCTTTTTCTATTGTGTATTTCATTGGCAGATTTCAGTGTTTTACAATGAAGGTGAGTATCACTATCCCAATTTTATCACTGGAAAACTGAGGAACAGGGAAGTGAAGTGAACAGGGTTGCACAATGGGACTTTGACAGAACTGGAAATAGAATGCAGGTCTCCTGGGTGCCAGTTCAGTGCTCTGTACACAACCACAAGCAGAAACATAGAAATCGGTGCAGACTTCTTGCTAGCATTCCCCAACTTTTTTTTTTAAATCATGCACTTACCCTATGTATTGTTCTCTGTGCTTTGAGACCTGTGGGAGGAAATTTTAAAGGGTGCCTGTAATCCATAGTAAAACTTGCTACCGTTTTTTTGCTTGCTGTTTACTAGCCAAAAGTACTGAAACTGACTACTATTAATATTAATGTTGTGTTAAATGCATATTCGTAGAAGTGGGTGTGGTATGGGAGAAATATACTTAAGTTATAGTGCCTAGAATGCATATATTTAGTGATGTGTTACAAAACAAAATCCCACAATATAGGTATCCTTGAGGGTTGAAATGTTAACCATGTTTTCATTGATGAGATCAACCAATCTGTTCGTTTCACCAGGACATGGAAGGTTCATAGTCTGTTAGGAGTCGAGGCAAAAATGGAGTTAAATAAAGTGCTTAAACATCTGAATCTATGCATGTGAAGACAGAGAGCTACATTATTCCTATGAAGATGTATATTGGCAGGGAAATGTTAAAGTGTGAACTTGAATTATAGCTTCAAGGTCAAGAGATTTATAACCTTCCTGTTCAGTAGATTGCTTACTCCCTTACATTTTCACCTCTGTTTACATCTGCACAGATGTTTAAATTGTGTGTGTGGATATCTTTTTTCCCTCAGGACCCCTTGTTGCTGAAGGGTAAAGTAACACTGCATCAAGTTACGGCTGGGACTGTGGTATCAAGGCAGGGAGACCAGGTGAGTGCCCTCCAGTAAGGGAAAAGTGAATCTGTAGTTTAAAAACTGATATTATTACTACTCTCCAGTCATTCAAATAGCGGGTGTCCTGTCAAGACCTTAGTGTATGACTAAAGATGGACTAGAGTTGAGGTGAGTGGCCCTGGACTGGGTTTGGGGAGTTCTGGGATAAGTTCCTCTGCCACAGGCTTCCTGTACAAGTTACTTTCACCTCTCTGTGCCTCATGCCCCCACCCTGCAAAATGAGAATGATAGGTACCAACCTAACAGGGGTATTCTGAGGATAAACTCATTAAAACATTTCTGAAGCACCCAGATACTATGGTGACAAGGGCCATATAATGTTCTGGATAAAAACAGGTTGGGTTGAAGAGTGCACATCAGACAGTATGTGGTCTAGAATATGACCTATAAGGAAATATTAAACAATTGGGTTTGTTTAGTCTGTAGAAGTGAAGTCTGAGGGGGGACATAACAGATTTAAGTTTATAAAAGAGGAGGGTGATAAATTGTTCTCCATATCCACTGAGGAGAGGACAAGAAGTAATGCGCTTAAATTGCAGGAAGGGAGATTTGGGTCAGACATTAGAAAAATCTTCCTAACTATAAGAGTGGAATAAATTACCTAGAGGGGTTCTGGAATCTCTGTCTAACCTCTTCTTAAAAACCTCCAATGATGAACACCTGTCAGGGATGGTCTAGATCCTTAGTCCTGCCTCAGTGCAGAGGACTGGACTAGATGACCTATTGAGATCCCTTCCACTCCTACATTTCTGTGATTCTATTGCCTCTTGAATGGGGAGCTGAACAAGATTGAGAGGAATTGGTAGGTGCTTATCCATCTGGGTGCAGAGGCTCAGAATTGCAATCCATACACAGACCGCAGGGAAACCCCCCCCCCTTTCTCCCTTGCATCTTGTTGAGTTTTTCCTTTGTAATTAAAGAGAAGAGGGGCTCATTTAATAGCAACAGCAATTTTAGCTGCAGATTATGGGTTTTGTTTTGTATGGAAGAGTGCATAGCTAAAGTTGCAATGTGAATTTAGCATCCTTCTCCATGAGGTTTCAAGTTTATACATATATTGCTTATTTTCCCATGAAATGATGTGCATTACAAATGCCCAGATAACTTGCTTACAAAAACCCAACCCTCAATGCATGATGTATGTCACTCAGTTTTATTAGAATGCCTTCTTCTATTAATACACAATTGGACTTTTTTTGTATATTAGTGCATTTTGCAACAAGCATATCATTCAGGGCATAATATTGTTCTGTAATAGCACTAGGAGATTGTTTGTTTGAAAATACGTAACTGTGTGCAATGCAAATTAAGGGAATACATTTTTGCTAATTTCCAGTACTAATATATTCTGTTTTGTCACAATACAGTATTATTCACAGAGTTTTGTGAATTCTGTGTCATCTCCACCTCTTGAGGTCTCCCAATTATGGTCCCAGTCAGAAAGCTCCATTTTCAATATTGTAACTGGAACAGTTTACAACATTAATAAATGCTTTTAATTATTCATGAATGTGCCTTATTGTATTGTCTAAGTGATTAACGCTACATAGAGCCCCACAGCAAACACATCAGTCATTGCAGTTCTGTTACAATTAATGTTGGTTTAAAATCCAGGAGGGTTTATAATGAGGGATTCTCTCTCCATCCTTTTCAGGATGTCAACATCCGGTTTGTGATCTCAGGTTTGCTTCATGTGTACCAGTGGAAGATAGACTCTGAGGAGGAGACCTGTCTATTCATCACCCATCCGGGGGAAATAGTAGGCCAACTAGCTGTCCTTACTGGGGAACCTCTCATTTTCACCATCAAGGCCAATCGAGACTGCACGTTCCTGTCCATTTCCAAATCCCATTTCTATGAGTGAGTTCCCCCATTGAGTGGTGCATTGCTTTCCATTTTTACACCCACCTATAAATCACAGTTATTTTGGACACATTTCAGTGACAGAGGGGGTGAGTATGATGTGCTTTTGCTAGAGCACATCATATAGCAAACTAGATGTTCTGGAGTAGGAATTTAGGAAGTGCCACACTGTATTAGACCCCAGATCTAATTTATTACATCTATTACAAATTCCTCTCTCCAGCAGGGTAAGTACCAATTACTTCAGCGAAAGGTGCAAGAAACTCTGTAATGTTCAATGATGGAATAATCTGCTGTAAGCAAATTAAATTTCCACTTCGCTCTGAACAACATTTTAACACCCTGTATTTAGTCCAGACATTCCCTAGGCCTGGAATTTGGCTTTATTGATAACTCAGATAATAAGGAAAATGCCACCCTCAGCCCATGTTAACATGTTGGTAGTGTTTCTCTAAAGAGACCTCTCTGTTCTAGACCTTTCACCAGAGTATCACTCCCACTTCTTTTTAAACCAGAGTGGAGTTAATGAGCCTCCACTGCTACATGATTCATAGGGTATAAGTCAGTATCTCCCTGCAGGATTACAGCACTTACTAATAGGGTAGGTCAAAAGAAGAACCCTGCTACACCTGCCCATAGGGCAGGTTTCTTCCTGACCCCTGTTAATTGGTGGTTATCATGAGCTGTGAAGCATGAAGGTGAATATACCTTAGTGTTTTATCCTGTTTAAACATCCTGTAAATGTTCTCATTATTCCATATAAACATCAATCCTGCTATGATCTTATCATCAATGTTTTGTGACAGAGTTCACACTCATAGTTTATACTAAAAAAAATCTTTCATTTGTTTAAAATGAGTTGCCTTTTATTTATTTTATTATTATTTGTATTGTTGTAGTAACCAGGACTCCATTGTGGTCGGCGCTGTACAAACACAAACCCATAACAGCTCCTGCCCCAAAGAACTTCCAATCTAAGTAAAGTCAAGAGACAGCAGATGGGTACAGACAGACTAGCAGGGAGCACAAAGAAACAATGAGACTTGGTCAGCAGGACAGGCTGTTGTCTCAGCACACCAGCAGCCTAACCGTTGTCAAGCATTTTGTAGGCGTCATAGTAAAGGACAGTTTTGAGGAGGGTTTTGAAGGGGATAATGAATTAGTTTTGCTGGTGTTTATGGGGAGCCCCTCCTGAGTGTGAGAGGCAGCATGGGAGAAAGCATGAAGGGGCTCATTTGAAAATGTAACAAGTGGGTGATGGAGGCTGGCTTCAGGGGCCAACTGGAGGTGGGAGTCCAACAGAATGAGAGCTGATAGATAGGGTGGGAATAGGTCGGGAAGGGCCTTGGAAGTTAAGGCCAGTAGCTTATGTTTGCTATGATGGAGGAAAAGGGAATGCAAGGAGAAGGGTAACATAGAATCATAGAATATCAGAGTTGGAAGGGACCTCAGGAGGTCATCTAGTTCAACCCCCTGCTCAAAGCAGGACCAATCCCCAACTAAATCATCCCAGCCAGGGCTTTGTCAAGCCTGACCTTAAAAACCTCTAAAGAAGGAGATTCCACCACCTCCCTAGGTAACCCATTCCAGTGCTTCACCACCCTCCTAGTGAAAAAGTTTTTCCTAATATCCAACCTAGACCTCCCCCACTGCATCTTGAGACCATTACTCCTTGTTCTGTCATCTGGTACCACTGAGAACAGTCTAGATCCATCCTCTTTGGAACCTACTTTCAGGTAGTTGAAAGCCGCTATCAAATCCCCCCTCATTCTTCTCTTTAACATGGTTAAAGCAATGAGCTAGGAATACTATTTTTGCAGCAGAATTCTGAATGGGTATGAGCGAGGCAAGATTGCATTTGTCAAGGCCAGAGGAAAGGATGTTGCAGTTATCAAGATGCAAGACAATGAGATTTTTAGCCATGTGGATGATGAGAAAGGCTGTATCTCAGAAATGTTTTGCATAAAGAATCAGCAAATTTAGATATAGCCTGGATATGAGGACCTAAAGAAAGGTTTGAGTCAGAGATGAACCCCAAGTATGGGCCTGAGTGACAGGCAGGATGGTGGTTTTTTCCACAGTGATTGAGAACAGCGTTAGTGGAGAGGACTTGGTGGTGGGGAGATTGAGAGCTGTTTTAGCCATGATAAACTTGAGCTGAGCTTGAACTTTGCAGTTGAGTCTTGGTGAGCTTGAGCTTTCAGTTTTTAGTGGAATGTCCCCTTGTTCTTGACTATGAGCGTGTAAGTAGGAGTTTTTCTGGCTTTTGTTCTCTAAACCATTCATTATTTTGCATAGCTCTGCTGCCTCTTTTTATCTCCTCTCTAAACGCTCCCTATCTTTAGTTTCTCCAGGCTTCTAATCAATTTTGTCTCCAGGCTCCTATTTCTATGATATCATTTTTGGAGGTAGGGTAACGAGAACTGAACACAATGTCCTCGGTGATAGTGCACCATCAATGTACATAATAGCTTTCCAACAGACGTCTTATTTTCTACCCCGTTCTTTATACTATATCTCTTTGTTCAAATCACATTCAATTATATACTCCTCTGCTGTCCCTCTCCAGATAGCTGTCATCTACATCTCCCCTACCCTCCCTGATTTTGAAACCTGACTTTTTTTTTATTCCTCTCCCCACAGTCCTCCCTCATCATACTTGGTGACTTCAAATTTCACACTGATGCCCACTCTGACCCATGAGCTGTTCCTGCCTCTTTGCCTTCATTTTCTCTTTTGACTTTCAACCTTGGATCATCTCTCCTGTTTGCCAAAGTGGCCACTTGCTTGACCTTGTCTCTGCTCGTCTTTGCTCAAGTGTTCCTTTTCTCATCTCTCAGGAGTGGTGACACTCTCCAAACGCTACCCCATCACTTCTTCCTTATTGCCTATTTTCCCTCTACCAGTGATCTGAGCTCTTATTCTCCACCACTCTCAACTCCTTTATTGTTCCCTCTCCTCCTCCTCTGTAGACTCCATTGTTAGTTCACTGCACTCTGCTCTCGCTACACTTGATTCTTTCACCTCTCCTTCCCACCAAAAGTCTGTTCCAAAACCCTAAACCTGGCTCATTCCCAGCTTCAGCTTTCTCCACACCTGCTCTCATGTCAGTGACTGTTACTGGAGAGAGTTTCAAGACAACATGGATATCCTCTGCTGTAAAATTGATCTTTCCTTCTTTAATTCTACTGTATCGCTAGCTGAACAACACTGCCTCTCCACTGTCATTGAATCCCCAGCTCGCAATCCCTGTCACATGTGCAATCTCTGACTCCCTCCTGTGCCCTCCATGCAAGATTTTGCTTGATTTCCCCCCCACACACTCCAGGAGGAGATGGATAAGGGCCACCACAAGTCCACAACACTCCTTCCTCCCTCTCCCTTTCACTGGCAGATTGCACACTTGTTTTTCTCTTTGAAACCTCTCCATGTGCCCTGTGACCCCAATCCTCTCCTGGCATCCCTGTTCCCCACTCACACCCTCTTCCTTGTCCTCCTCCTTTTACCTTTCCTTGTCCTCTTGCCTCTTTTCCTCCAGTATACAAATACATTTGCTTCCACTGTCCCTAAAACAACAGTCCTCAATCCCACCTGCCACGCTAGCTATTGCCCATTGCCACCAAACTTGCTGAATGCTCCATCTACAACCATTGCCTTAAGTTCTTCAAGTGATTCCACATGTGCATTTCACGCTGGGTGTCGGACCATCTCTCAGAGGTACCCATTGGAGAGGCTCAAGTGCCCTTTACCATAGTGTGCCATCACGAGCCAGTATAAATGGCACAACCACCCCAGAGCTTCTTCAGTTCTAATGACTGTCACGGGTAGTAAGAAGGAATTGCGTGGCTTGCGTTAGCACATGCTGTCAGTGTGCTCATGGAAATTTCTTGTAAATAGTTTTCTAATTGATTAGTACTTAGAGTAGATAGGATTAGTTTCCTTTTTGGTCGCCACTTCTGGGGTTTCTGTTACATGGTCACTGGGCTTCAAGCTCTGCGTCTCTTGTGCTAGGCCAATGCCCATGAGCAACCCACAATCAAGCTGCTTGAAGCATTTGGGGGAAGCTCATATTTGGGTTTGTTGTCAAATTTGCAAATATTTTAAGCCAAGGACAAAAAAAGCCAGAGAAGCCAGGCTAAAGGTTTTACTCACAGAGGCGGCCCTGAGACCTCCATCAGACTCTAGCCTTCCTGACTTGGCACAGAGTGCTTTGGCATCAGTTAGGAGTGTACCTTCTGTGCTGCCTGAGACCTAGCACCAATTGCTTTCCCCAATGTCTAAGAAGAGACATAAGACCTCTTGTAGCGGGGTGGACACCCGCTCCTGCCTGGGAGGGCTGGAAAGCAGCCCTGGAGAGGGCTGCAGCTCGAAAAGCTGGGCCACACCCCAATCAGGCCACAGCTGGCCTGTATAAAAAGGCTGTGAGCCAGAGGCCCAGAAGAAGTCTCTCTGTGTTCAGAGAGAGAGAGAGAGAGAGAGAGAAGGGCCTGGCTGCAGGGAGATAGAGCCAGGGTACCTGAGTGGAGCAGGGCTGGGGAAAGGCAGAGGAGCTGGGGAGCCCCAGCCTGGAAAGCCCCAGACTGCAGCCTAACATTGGGCTAATAGATACTGGGGGTTTCAGAGGGCAGCCCAGGGGTAGGCAAAGGCAGCAGGTCCAAACCCAACCTTGCCAGTGATGAGTAGGCTGATATTGCAGTCTGCCCCAGGCGTGGGGGCTAGATGAGGACAGACAGTAGCCTTATACTGAGGCAAGGTGGGGATAGTGGGTGGGGAGTTCCTGGGGAGAGGAGACCCTGAGAGAAAGGGGCTACTGCCAGGGGGCAGCACCCCAGCTAACAGGGCACCGGAGTCCAGGGAGGGACACCGGGGCCAAGCGGTAGTGGATCACTGGCCTGCAGAGGGTGCTCCGGGCTGGAAATTGAGCTAATTCCCTGAGAGACCAGCAGGAGGCGCTGCAGGGGTGAGTCCGCCCAGCTTACACCTCTAGACAGGAAAGT